AGCTGTAATGCCACGGCACTCTACCCAGGGGGACAGCTTGAGGCTTTGTCTCAAAAAAAAAAAAAAAAAGAAAAGAAAAAAGAAAAAAGAGATGGGGCTCAGCACCTGTAGCTCAAGTGGCTAAAGCGCCAGCCACATACACCTGAGCTGGTGGGTTCGAATCCAGCCCAAGACCACCAAACAACGACAGCTGCAACCAAAAAATAGCCAGGTGTTGTGGTGGGCGCCTATAATCCCAGCTACCATGGAGGCGGATGCAGGAGAATTGCTTGAGCCCAGGAGTTGGAGGTTGCTGTGAGCTCTGATGCTATAGCACTCTACCCAGGGTGACAGCTTGAGGCTGTCTCAAAAAAAAGAGAGAGAAAGAGAGAGATATGGATTCACTATGTTGCCCAGGCTATAGTGCAGTGGCCATTAATTAGCACAATCACAGTACACTGCAGGTTTGACCTCCTGGCTTTAAGTCATCCTATGGCCTCAGCCTCCCAAGTAGCAACTTTGTGGCAGGCTGTAAGTTTTTATTTTGATGAAGCCTGACTTACCTATTTTTTCTTTCACTACTTTCACTTTTAATGTCAGTTTTGAGATACCACCGTTTAACATGTTTTCTGTCATAGCTCACAGCAACCTCCAGCTCCTTGGTCTCCTAAAGTGCTCAAATTATAGCCATGAGTGGTCACCCTCAACTCTTATGAACTACAGCAGACATAGAATGTGCCAATTTGACATGATTAGAAGCAGTATTACCTAATTCTATAAGCAAGACCTGGAGTTAAGGCGACACCCATAGCACAGTGGTTACGGTGCTAGCCTCATGCACCAAAGGTTGCAGGTTCAAACCCATCTTGGGCCAGCTAAACAACAATGACAAATGCAACCAAAAAAATAGCCGGGTGTTATGGTAGGTGCCTATAGTCCTAGCTACTTTGGAGGCTGAGGCAAGAGATTCGCTCAAGCCCAAGAGTTTGAGGTTGCTGTGACCTGTGACGCCACGGTACTCTACCAAAGGCAACATAGTGAGACTCTGTCTCAAAAAATAAAAAAAAAAGACATGGAGTTAAATATATGACTGTGTCCTTACCATGGTATTGGTACTTGGCTGTCCCAGGGTGTTGGTATTACCAAAGGAAAAGCCAGTGTTCTGGGTAGTTGTGGCCTGGCCAAATGGTTTGCTGAAGAGGCTGGTAGTCTGCTGATTCTGTTGGCCAAAGAGACCACCTGGATTGGTTCCAAATCCAGTTGTACCTTTCAAAAGTAGAAAAAGGAAAGAAAACTGAATGAAAAAAAAAAGTCTAAACACAAAAAATTAAAACTACACGTTATCAAGTTACTTCTATAGTGTTATGCTACCTACATATGTAAATTACTCAATAACCATTTCATTTTCCTAACTCCAGATTGGTTAAAATTTTGTTTCTACAATATCACCATTATCCAAAGAAAACTGGTTGGGTAGCTGGATGCATGTAGCTCAGCAGCTAGAGCACCAGCCACATACACCAGAGCTGGCAGGTTCAAATCAAGCCGGGGTAGGCCAAACAATGACAACCGCAACAAAAAATAAATTATAGCCAGGCAATGGAGTAGGTGCCTGTAGTCCCAGCTACTTCGGAAGGCTGAGGCAAGAATCACTTAAGCCCAAGACTTTGAGGTTGAGGGTGCTGTGAGCTGGGATGCCATAGCACTCTACTCAGGGAGACAGCTTGACAGCTTGAGAACCTGCCTCAAAAAAAAAAAAAAAAAAAAAAAAAAGGGCGGTGCCTGTGGCTCAGTAGGTAGAGTGCCAGCCCCATATACCAAGAGTGACAGGTTCAAACCCAGTCCTGGACAAACTGCAACAATAAAAAAATTAGCCAGGTATTCTGGCAGGTGCCTGTAGTCCCAGCTTCTCAGGAGGGTGAGGCAAAAGAATTGCCTAAGCCCACGAGTTGGAGGTTGCTGTGAGCTACATGATGCCACAGCACTCTACCAATGGTGATACAGTAAGACTCTGTCTCTACAAAAAAAAAAGAATATGTGCTACACTAAATCACAGACTACCAAGATTAAAAAGAACATTAAATGTCACTTTGAAAATGTATTCCTTGGCTCGGCGCCTGTGGCTCAAGTGGCTAAGGCGCCAGCCACATACACCTAAGGTGGCAGGTTCGAATCCAGCCCTGCTGCCAAATCAACAATGACAGCTGCAACCAAAAAATAGCCAGGCGTTGTGGCGGGTGCCTGTGGTCCCAGCTACTTGGGAGCCTAAGGCAGGAAACTTGCTTGAGCCCAGGAGTTGGAGGTTGCTGTGAGCTATGATGCCTCGGCAATCTACCCAGAGGGACAGCTTGAGGCTCTGTCTCAAAAAAAAAAAGGAAATGTATTTCTTGGCTCAGCGCCTGTAGCTCAGCAGCCACATGGAGTTTCTAACCTAACCAAAGCTGGCAGGTTAGAATACAGCCGGGGCCTGCCAAACAACAATAACAACTACAACCAAAAAATAGCTGGGCATTGTGGCAGGTGCCTTTAGTCCCAGCTACTTAGGAGGTTGAGACAAGTGAATCATTTAAGCCCAAGAGTTGGAGGTTGCTGTGAGCTGTGATGCCACAGCACTCTACCAAGGGTGACAAAGTGAAACTATCTTCTCCCTCCCCTCCCAAAAAAGAAAATGTATTTCTAGGCCAGGCCTGGTGGTACACAACTATTATCTTAGCACTGTGGGAGGTGGAGGCAGGTGGACTGCCTGAGCTCAGGAGTTTGAGACCAGCCAGAGCAAGAGTAAGACCCCGTTTCTACTAAAATACCAACTGGCTATTGTGGCAGGAGTCTGTATTCCCAGCTGATAAGGCTGAGATAAGAGGATCATTTGAGCCCAGGAGTTTGAGATTGCTGTGAGCTATGATGCCACAGCACTCTATGGAGAGTGACAAAGTGAGACTCTGTCTTAAAACAATAATAAAAAGGGTGGCACCTATGGCTCAAAGGAGTAGGGCGCCAGTCTCATATACCAGAGGTGGTGGGTTCAAACCCAGCCCTGGCCAAGAACTGCAAAATAATAATAATAATAAAAGCGTTTCTGTACTTGTGTGTCTGTGTATGTGCATCCCTCAAGAAGGCTATGAAAAAACTAACTTTTGCTTATCTCTAGAAAGCAATCTAGTGGGTGTGGGGGAAAATAAGTATACAAATAACTTTGTATTTTGTTTACTTTCTTTCTTTTTTTTGAGACGGAGCCTCAAGCTATCCCTCCTGGGTAGAGTGCCATGGCATCATGCTCACAGCAACCTCCAACTCCTGGGTTCAAGCGAGTCTCCTGCCTCAGCCTCCCAAGTAGCTGGGACTACAG